TGCTGTGGGCGTGGAAATGAGCGTACGGCGCGTACATTTTGGAAAGTTTTGGAATATTCAAAATGACATGAAACGTGCTTTAAATTATCTGAAAAGTGATATTAACAATTTTAAAATTTTAACGCACAAGTACGAATACCTCATACGACGTGCCTAACGACGGTAATGGCACATAAATTTAAACCTTGTCAAGTTTAATTTAAAACCCCCTGTTGGTTGGTAATGCCACACGAATTTTGCTTTTACAGTATACGAACTATCGGTCTGATAGTGTCTAAATACAGTCTGCCGCCCTCTATTTTCAATGTGTTTACATTTTTTTAAAAAGATGAGAAGGCTCCAAAAAAACATTCTTTTTGACCATGATGACGTCATCAAAATAAAAAATAAAGGGACACGTCCGAAAGAGAATTGATTTAGCTATAACATACTCACAGGTGGGAGACAATCAATCAAGATAAGCGAGTACGTTCAAACGAGTATAAAAAGTAATAACGAAATAAATAAAAATTCAATTTTTTCTTAATTCAAATGGTAATATGATGACGTCACAATGTCCGATCAGCCAATATGATCTATAAAATCGTATCTACAACTCATGTGCTTTCAGAATATGTAATAAAAATTGGGGGTCACCTTTCATCCTATGGAGCTATAAGTGATTTAAAATATTCATGGTTTTATGCATATGTAAATGTTGACGCACGCGTACGCGCACGTTAAGTCGCGCGAACAGAAAATTAGGGTACCTGACATTCAACCTTGACCTGAAGATTATGCTCACCTAATATGGTTCAGAAATGAAGAATGGTTAGGATAATATGGGCTCATCAACGTTTTGAGGAAAGAAAGATGAAGGGGTCAGAAAAAACAATTTTTTTGACCATGATGACGTCATCAAAATGTAAAAAGAAGTCAAATATATAAAAGAGAATTGTCTCAGCTATAACATACTGAAAGTTGGAAGACGATCGATTAAGGATAAGCGAGATACGCTCAAATGCGTATTTTCAAA